GTAACGATATTTTTGTATACGTAATTTTTTTATGAACTCAATAACATTGGTTGGTTTTTAATGATGATAGCTGTTGTGTTAAATAATATGAAGTGATAAGATGGTGGTTGGAGGTAGTCATCAGGAAACCTCTGGACCTAGGTTTCGTGCTACTTGACACTCATCACCAAGGTATGCCTGTAATATTGAGAGAACTGATGCTCCCTAACGGATTTGATCCCGTGTAACCAGATTCACAGTCAGACTGAGCTATCCGGGCTGCGACTGACCTCCTGTAGGACTGAGATATATTTACAGTTGATTGATCAGTGGGTGGTGATCAATTTCATGTATGTCAGGTCGCTTAGACTGGTGGCCACATTTCAACTTTGTCGGTAGGATTCGATCTGCACTAAGATGGACCTGATATATATGACAGTGATCAATCAATTGTAAATATGAAGTGATTTTTACTAGTAGTGTATATGAAAATTATCTATGAGGAGAAAAAAATCTGTCATTACATTTTATGTTAAAAACAATGAAATATATTTTAAAAATTCAACTCTATTTTTTTCATAGCATCAATGAGTTGACATTTAAATCGATTTGTTTTGCGAGATGTAAATGTGTGTATACAAAAAAAGGGTTACAATTAATTTTTTATCTTTCCATAGATGTTAAATCTATTGAGCGAAACGAGTATTGTTGAAAATTCCTAATATCATGGTTATAGTTGTTAAAAATTACAGTAGTTGAGATCATGAGTCAATTGAAGCTAGACCACCATGTGAAACTGCTGAGGAGTCCCACAATAGGATGAAATGGCTGTCCAGTGGTGGTCTAGCTTCAATTGACTCATGATCTCAACTATTGAAATTACTATAATATCCACAAAAACCCCTTCTGATGTTAAAAATTAGTTTATTTTCAGTAGTATTTCCGTCGTTTTGAACGACATCATCAGCACAAATTTCATGTAGAAGTGAAGTGTTCGGATTTCTCCGCATAGGGTTCACAGTTTGTCCTGTAGACCTCGATGATGGTTGGTCCTTGTTGGCCTTAAACCTGTCATTGTTTACTTCTTTGTTTTGGTTATATCTCTCAAATAGGTAGGCCTATATGTTTAGTCAAGCAAGTTAGGTTTAGTATGTATTTCTATCTGATATAAATATGTACAATGTTTTTGAATGTCCGAAAGTCTTTTGGAATATAATTAGGCAATAAATACCCTTCCACTTTCATGTTAAACATCATATCAAAGAATAACACATTTGATTGCATTCATAATCTAAAATTATGTATTCTGATTTTTTTAATGTAAACAAATTAAAAACGAAATCATAAGTCAAAGAATATAATGGTAATCCATGAATTCTAGAAAATGTTTCTATCTTACCCGAATGTGCATGAAGTGAAGTATGGAACCTTGATAATGATCTGATATTATAGTTACAATAAACATAATTCAAATAGTATTTCTATAAAGAAAAACAGTTTAACACGAAATTCCAAACTAAAAATTGGATAGATTTCACTATTTCGACTTTCTCCTGTAGATTAATTTCAGATTATTCACTGAACAAAAGATTAGGAAAATGATTAGTTCTAATTCTAGTTCTAGTCTATATGCTTAGAATTTTTATATAATTTTTTTGAATTTATAAATAAAGACATTTGATCAACTAAGTTTTCTGAGGCTAACATTAGGAAACATGATACTAGATATTACATGGTGGTCTATTGGTGTATATGAATCATATCTCAACGATTATGTATGCAATTATTGCACCGAACGACGTACAATCGCGCTCATGTCTAGTAACATTTTTCCCGAGTTTGGGAACATACCTTGGTGATGAGTGTTATTCAGGACAACATATAGGTCCATTTCGACAATGTAATAAGAGGACGAAGATTATCAGAACTATGTGATATATTAGAGCAATACATACAGTCATCAACAAGACGTATTGCGCAGCAAAGGTCATTATCAAAGGAAGAACAAGGTGATGCTTCATCCAAAACTGAAAAAAACATGAAAACGATCGGGTCACATCCCACTGTGTTTACCAATTTAAATGTGTGTGTGGTCACACATAGATAGGGAGGAGCAATCGTGATCTCGAAATTGGGGTGTGTGAACGTGTACCAAAATGGTTGCAGAAACAAATACGATCAAGTGACCCAATAAGAGTATAGGATAAACATCCATCATCCTCTATTGCTATACATATAATCGAAACAGGTCATAAGATTGATCTTAACTCGGCTTTTGTGGTGTTGTATAAAGGTGTAAAAGGGCGTAAACTAAGGTTCACTGAAGCCTTAGACATACGAAAATGCAAACCCCCTTTGTGTATTCAAAAACAGGTTGCTCTCACCTTAAACCTACCCTGGTAATATTGACTTATTACCCAGAGTGTTTAGGTTTCAATCGTGTTCACGTTATCATTATTATTACTCTTATTATTATCCTTGTCTCATTTTACCCCATTTTCAGTCTAGTTAACCTTTTATTTTTTATATATATAAATGGTCTTAACAAGTATATGTGTGATCAGATTGTTCGAGATGTATTGCGCTAATATATCACATAGTTTTGAAATCTTCGTCTTCTTATTACACTATTGAAATTTACCAAAGTGGCTAATTGCTTTAAATATAGGTCCATGTTTTCTTAGCGATCACTTTAAACCGTTAAACATCATTTTCGACAGTTTTTTCCAGTAGTTATTTTAATGAGTCGATTTTACCATCTGACATATAGGATGATGCACAAGAGTGAATTGTGGTTAGATTCTCCAATATAACAAAAAGACAAAAAGAATTACGAAATTTGATTTTTTTTCTTAATAAAGTAAATTCGATTTATAAGCGATATCAATCAAACTAATTGACAATTAATTTACTCTAAGCTATTGGTTTACATCACTTGCAGTGAAACATCTTATGAAAATAAGTGATCTTATCACTTCTTACCTAAAACAATTTAAGTGTTAAAGTATTTGATTGATTGACGAAGTTTATGACAGTTACCAAAACAAAGATTGTCATCTTCTAAAAACATTTTATGTAACAAATAGACAAGTAGGAATATTCCATATAAAAGCTCCTAGATATTCAGACAATTGAGGTAAATCGTTAAATAGTATCAGAAAGGAGGAAAACTGTGATTCTGAAGCAGCTTAATTATAATTACTTAACAAAAAAGTAGTTAACCGTTAACAAAATTCATACTTTGCCTAGATTTTTTCAGGTGTTCAGAGATCAATCAACTTGATTTATTCGCATCACAATAAATATATTGATGATTTCGGTCTAATTATTTTCATTTTGGGACAAGATGAAGTGTTTTTTAATCATTTCATTAGAACCACAAAAAAAAGTAATTCAGTGATAGGGATAACATTTCAATAAATTTATTATCAAACTTTACAATTGTATATTTCTGAGAGTTTAAGGCTTCATTACATGAAGAAATATGAACCATAAAATAGAGTGATAACGTTAATGATAGCAACACAAAGCTATGTAACTTCTATAGGACAAGCTCAAGTAAGGATCTGGTGTAAAAAACTAATAAGCTTACATTACACCACGGCATGTTTGTTTCAGGAATTATGGGTATAAGAGAAATTAAATATAATTGATTTCGGAAATGATTAGTAGTGGAAATCAATGGATTATGAGAAATAGCTTCAGAGAGGGCGACATTGTCATGTGTATGACTTATGGACTGAGAATAAAATAATAGACTAAGACTACGGTAAGACGAAAGAAAAGAAGGAATTCTCTTAATCACAGATTTTAGACTTCACCAAGTCGATATTGAATAGACAGTCAGTTAAATATTCAGGAATAAAATTTGTAACAACTTTACTCCCAGCACTATAGGAAATAAACTAAGATATTTTCTCATATTCAAGTTGAAACCAAACTTTGGCTACGAGATATGCTCCTTGTAGGCAAATGTACATAAGTGCAACCAAAGTGAGGAGAGATTATTCATTACAGATACAGAAAAATTATTTTTAGCTCATGCAATTTCGTAATAGTATCGTTGCAAAAAGTGTCCTCATATTTGCTACAGACAAATATTTTATAATCATAACAGAAATTAAGTCACTCTCTAAATTCCAAATTCATATGAAGATCAGATGGATAGTGGCTAGCAACGGAATCCAGGACGCGCGTTTCGTCCTATTTGGGACTCGTTATCTGGATGTATTTACTTGTAAATTAAGGCAATATCGAGGCAATACGCATGTGCCGATAAGAGATTGATCAATTTCAGTCCTAAACATCAATATCAAGATTCAACTAAACAATATCAAGTAAATTCATATAAAGATATTTCTTAGAGAACGATTTCACTGATAATGATCATTAACACATAAATAGTGATTTATCAATTCTGTTCAATAAAATTTTTTAAAAAGTGTAATTATAATAATCAGTATAGGATTGTGGAGATTATTAACTTTTTGATTTAGATCATGAACCGATTGATGTTAGACTACCATTGAAAACTTAGAAGCATTGGACGGCCGTTTCGTCCTATTGTGAGACTCCTTAGCAGTGCGCATCCACGATCTCCTTCCAAGATTTGAACCCAGGGCCTTCATTCTCGCGCGTGAACGCCTAACAACTAACCACTGAGTTGGCATCAAACGGTGTTAATGTCTAACTTCAACCAATCCATGAAATCGTGCGACTATCTTCCATTGTACTGAGGTAGATACTTGTCTCTATCCAGCCTTCTAGTGCTTCCAGGTTTTCAATGGTGGTCTAACATCAATCAATTCATGATCTCAATCAACATAGAACTCACTAAAAAAATTATAAATCTTAATGAAAACAAAATAAAATTGTCACACTGAAACTGATTAGATAAAATATATTTATATTTCACTGAATAATGTATATAATTATAATTTTCTATTTATTTTAAAATTAATAATTTTATTTGTTTTCAATTATTCAATGACTGAATTTCTGTATATATATTTTTTCTTTTAATGGTTGATGCTTTTAGTGAAAGTAAGTTCATTGTTTATTTTAATGGTTTATTCATAATATATGTATGTGTTCTGTTTTAAAATGTTTAAATGTTGTGCAACATCGTGTTTTATACCTATAAATATATGTTGTATCTAAGTGTATATATATATACATACATGTTTGTGTGTGTGTGTTTTATCAATAAATAAATATTTAATGATAATATTAGTTAGTAATAAATTATCATTTTGATAACTAAGTTTACCCTTTATCCCCCTCACCACCATCACCCGAATATTTATCTTACAAGCGAATCCACTTAATCAAATGTTATCAAACTCATATATATATATATTTTTTTTTATTGATTCATGTCAATATTATTAGAATTAGTTTCTCTTAATGTTCATATTTCGTGCTAGAGAAATCAACAACAACAAAAAATATTCATTTATATTATATGCATATATAAATGAACATATAATGCATTTTATTTAATTAAGTGTTTAATAGGAAATTTTGTATATATATATATAATATATATATATATATATATATATATATATATATATATTGCCGAGTTTTGACCATATGTTAATCTATACAAGTCGGATACTAGTAATTATTATTATGACAGTTTTAAGACATTTGAACAAAATATATACAAATTTTATAAGAGATGAAACTACTTTTATTTTAGTACTAGTATGGAGTTGTGAAGATTGTTAAGCTTTTTATTGAGATCATGAATCGATTGATACTAGATCACCATTGAAAACCTGGAAGAACTAGACGACTATTTCATCCTCGAGTGGGACTTCTCAGTAGTGCGCGTCTACGATTCCGCTCGCGGGATTCGAATTCAAGACCAACGGTGTTAATGTCTAACTTCAACTAATCCACGAAATTCTTATTATATTGATAGCTTATCTTCAAGTCGAAAAAGGTTGAAGAAAAAGAGAGCATATTACAGTTATTATTACTATGTTAACACAATATACAGGCAATTGTGCTTATCAGTTAACTGAAATACTAATACTGCTTTTATGTTACACAATATATTCTTCTAAGTAATGAACGACAAATACAGCTCAACACTGTTTATTTGAAATATTACGGTAGAAGTTTACACGTTCATGACCCTTCTCCCAGATTTCTTAAGATATACTAATCAATGTGATGCATTCTGTTGAGATGTAAGATAGTGGTTAAAGGGAGTTGACAAGAAACCCTGGTTTCATGCTATTTACAACACATCATTAAGGTGTACCTGTAATATTGAGGGAACTAATACAGGCTTACGGATTAGATTCTGTGTCACCCAGCCTCACATTCAGAGATGTTTACCACTGAGCTGCCTCCAACTGGCATCTTACATCTCAGTGCATGGTACGTCAAGTCACCTACACTAGTAGCCTCATCGCTACTTGATCGATATGATTCAACATGCATATATATGATTTATCGATGACTATTACCAGTACAGTACACTGCATTCCTTGGAAAGTGTATGAATGATTACCGACTAGAATCTACCTTGTATGTGAGATAATTGTTATATTTTTAAGAGCCAATAACTACCAAAAGTCTTTACGGGAAAGAACGAAGTAAAAATCGCCGATCAAAACTGTTGTATGGCTAAAATTAGTTCACAATGTAAACCATCTTCTATTCTAAGATTCTAATAGGTTACATGTCATTTCGAATTATATTAGACATTTAAATAAATCTAACTTGTGCATAGCTGGGTAAATTTTCTATAGATGTACATGATTTACATGATGTAAATGAGATTAATTTTATTTCTTCTTAAAAACATTTTTTTTTTAGAATACTTGATAACATGTAAACTAATGTATTGTATAGACATTACTTAGCACAATCCTTTATATTATCCCAGTTTCCCAGATTGTAGTAAACAGTTTATAAATTACTTTATAATAGTTCACTATTGGTTTGGTTAAGTTTAATAGGTAAAGAACATTTATACGACTTCAAGACTTTCTGTTATTTATGCACAACTTCATTGTTTTATGAATAAAATTAATCATCATCAGCAAAAATTACTCACTGAGATATTTATGATGAACAGATAGTAATTCCTTCATTAGTACTATTTTTCCAGTCCATATAATTCATTATAGATAACATTCTGAAATTTGTGGATAAATAGAGAAATCAAATAGCTATTCAAACTGTTTAAACTTTATATTTGTTGAAATATGATGCAGTCTAAAGAAAGTACATTAAGTATCCGGAAATTCAAGTAATGGATGCAAATGCTTCTATTAGTTCATTTCATATTTATATGATGAAGAATATTCTTATTTGAAAATAATATTCATTTCACACTAACATCACATTAAAAAGGAAGAAATATAAAAATTTATTCTATTTCATTTTAAGGCTTCTCAACAGTAGATACTCATTGTCTGAACTCAATATTTTGAATATATGGATTCTCACTAAGGTTATAAACAAAAACGGTACTTTGAAAATCGATGAACGTTAAGTTATTTAAAGACATAAAATCTATCATTATTAGAATTTGAATTATTTGACAAAGTAATCCAATTATTATTTTTTTAATGTTTGGAAACAACCATGAAAATGGAATAAGTCAGTCAGTCACAACGTAGAACTTCGTACGATCGTACGTCAGTTCGAGTTGCCATACCACATTAGCACAGAGATGCAGTTGTCGATTCAAATCCCGTAGTGGTAGAGGTAGTAAAAGTATGAGCAGTAATCGGAAAGATCAGGGTTTGAAGACGTTATTCATGGAGTATAATCCAGTGAAATAAATTTGGAAAGAGCAAAAAAGGACATGAAAATTCAGAAGATTAGAATTTGGGAGAACACAAAGAGTGGATACACCTGCGTCATTGCAAACGATTTGAGTCATGTCATTCAAGGTCTCTAACCATCGGTCGCTATCGTCTCGCAGATCCTAACCAGGTGGTCTACACATACGAACATGGCTCAGTTCACTTGTCAGTGAATTGGTAGATTTGTGCCATGTTATGGACTGGCCGCCCCTAGCTTTCTTCCAACCTACTCCTACACCATAATACATCACACGTCGGGGCAGTCGGTGGTTGGGCATACGTAACACATGTTCCAGCCATCTCAACTGATGAAGTTTCACTACTTCATCAATTGATTTACCATCCCTACCTAGTACCCGTTTCCTAACAACTGCATTACTTACTCGGTAGTCCCAGGTTATACGAGCCATGTTCCGAAGATACCTATGATCGAATACCAGCAACCTATGAATATCCTCTACTCTTACCGGCCATGTTTCACAGCCATAAAGCAGGACGGAATGAAATGCTGCGCAGTAAACCCGTCCTTTGGAACAAACAAAATCTAATCACTTTTCTTCACTGTAACTTCAATATTTAAACAGCTTTCATCGTTATTCTAATATCTTTATGGTAGATAGATTTAGAATGAATATTATTTTTTCTAAATGAGGAGTCAAAAATCAAATATTCTAATTTATAGAAAGTCAAGATATGTTAGATTAAAACATGGCAGATGAAATCATTTGTAGAGACTCATATTGTAAATACTTTTGTTTAAATGCATATCTTTCAAATTATGGATAATTAGTCTGTTGTTATAAGGCAAGAATAACGAAACATTATGATGAATCTCAGAGTTAAATTAGAAGAAATCATTATCGTGATTTTCTGGAAATGATAAAAGTCAAAAGACTAGGCGGAATCTAACTGATGAGTCATTAGAGCATTAGAACAACCATGTAAAATTCACCTATATATTTGTATTATCAAATACATTTGTATTATTTGAAAAATTGGTATAGTGTTATACTACAAAGACTTTTAATTCGCCTGCTTAACGATAACTTTTAACGATTGTTTCTCTTTTACGTTGATTTTGTTTATAGCTGAAACATTAAAAGATTTATGCCAGCACCGAAATAAGCCTTCTTCTTCTTGTGACAATCAAACAGATCTTGATCATTCAGAGTTTGAAGAGGATGATTCTACAGTATCAGGAATTCCCCATGCACATATCACATCAGAGAATTTCCCAAGATCAGATGATACACATAAATCTCAGCTTATGCATACATCACCATCAGAACTTAGTCCTTCTAACTCAGCTTCGTCGCAAAAATATAATAATATACCTGAATTACAAAGTCCCTTGGATGTAAGTATTAGTCAGATTGATGGAACGAATGAAGGAGTGACACGAGGACCATTACCTCCTCCTCCTCCTCCAGATCTATATTCATATATTGATACGTTTGATGATATCTATTTGACACAAACAAATAATCAAGGAAATTATCCATGGTCTCACAAGGTGTATAATAATGCTCCGAAAGCAGAATCAACGAATAACCATCCAAATTATATTCAACAGCCTTCAAATGACAAACAGCGGAATGATATGAATACCATTTGGCCTGAATCATGGATGCCACCAATACAGCATGAAATAAAAGCTACGGAACACAATTAGATCATAATGAGCAAAATATTTTTTTTAAAACGTGTAATTTGCACATTTATTTTCATCTCTTACTCTCATTCTCTCTTTAGATATGAATAAAGTACAATGTACTTTGATAATATCTCATTTTCTCATATTGTAAACAACACAACAATTTTGTAATTTAATCATTAATTTACTCAAAAAAAACCCTTTTTTCTTTGAGCAAAAAGCAAATCATGCAGCATTCATTTATGCAATGTTCACATACAAATTTTGAAATAGCACTTTTGTACAGATTGAACAATTTAAACAAATACTTACAGTATGATTTACTAAACTTTATTTTTCTCCATTTTATATACTTAATAAATTTTAATTTTTTTTATATCTTACCAAATAAATTGATTCTTATGAAAACAAAAATGAATTTCAATAGTTGAGATCATGAGTTAATTAAAGCTAGACCACCATGGAAAACATGAAAACATTGTATGGCTGTTTCGTCCTATTGAGGAGTCCCACAATAGGACGAAACGGTCGTACAGTGCTTCCAGGTTTTCTATAGTGGTCTAGCTTCAATCTCAAATACTAAAATTACTACAATCTCCACAAAACCTCTTCTGAAAATGAAGTTAATTACAAGTTGAATAATTCTCCGATAAAAAGTTACTATCCTGATGGAGTTTCGTTCTCTGAGCTGGATGGTTTGGTCGTGGAGCTTTCATCGTTCCACGACCAAACCATCCAGCTCAGAGAACAAAACTCCACCAAAATCATCCACTTGAGCTGCAAATCTCCACCATCTCAGTTACTATCCTGTTTCACAACCAAGTTGATAATAGCTAAAGACTCATTCATGTTCAGGTGCCTAGTTAATTGATTACAGCTTAAAACTAGGATACATTTTATATTTAAATAAGTTTTTACTCTGATAAAAGAATACAATATGTTTTCACTTATGTCCATTATTTAAAATTACACTTCAAATCGGAATTTACAATCGATGAATTTTGAAATGAATTCATTTAAAGTACATTCATAGGTGAGAATTTAATGTGAATTTTATAACCACCATGTAGTAATTCATTAAAGGAAGATATTTACGGAATAACAGAAATATTTGGCTAGTGCGTAAATAGAGTAATTGTGTGTATCATTAAGTTGAAACGAAGATTGGGAATGATAATCAAGAAATCTGGATAGAAATAATCTCCGTAATAATTAGTAGAGTAAATTAAAATCACTTTTATAAACTCAAGAGTAAATAATGGAAGAGAAAGGAAACTAAGACCATGGGGAGTGAAAGGTTCTAAAAAGTTGTTTTGATATCTACAACTCAGGTCCGCAATTGTGCTAAACAAAGTAGATTAAGATGTACATCTCCTAGCATCTTTAAATAAATTCTGTAGTTGTTATCCAAAGATGAATTCGAGGCTTAACGTCATGAGTATATTACATGTAGCAAAATTGATAACGTAATTGGTTAATATCCACCTTTCCTAATCCACGCTGGTAGATTCTCCTGAATATGATGAACAAGCAACCTCAATGAACTGAGGTTACTATGTTTATTTCTCATTCTACTCTATTGATTTGGAAGTAACTTTCGTAAGCGTATCAAATAGTTACTATAATCCTATTTGATAATGATTAGATATTTACTTGATATAGTAAATTATGATTTCTGGAATTATTGGAATATTTCTCCTCGTGACAATTGTGTTTGTCTGAAATCAGATTTAAACTAGCTATCTGGTTTTTTATTATTTTGGATAACTCGAATAATACATGATATAAAGTAGCAAACCTGTTCGTTTTCATCATAAATAATTTTATTATACTGATATAAAAATACATAAGATGACAAATTTTTTTACCTTGCCAGAAGTTTCATTAGTGATTCTACTTTGCAGTTTGGTCCTAATTACAGCAAATAAAACCTTATAGTCATCTATATCCTGACCTGTAAGCAATAACAACATTTGTTGAATAGTCAGAGCTAGAACTCTGATTATTGTCATACATTTAAATAAAAGTAACAGTCTATTAAATCTTTAGTTTGAAAAATGATGACATCGTATATGTTCATAATAAGTAAAGATAGACAGTGGGAAACAGTGGAATCCAGGACGCACGTTTCTTTCTATTTAGGACACGTCAGCTGGATGTACCCGCATCTCAGAGTTGATGCTCACTGCGGTACTCAAATGAGATATATACTTTGGTTTGACATTTATGAAAAGTTCCAAACTAGATAATTATGTAGTTATAGTCAGATTTTGAACTGTGAATGGGCGTTAACAAGATACACAGCAAAGGAGAGAGAATAATGATGTTAAGTTGAACATAAGAAATCTAATTAAAAAGAAATGCATACAATTAAAAACGACAATTATAGAATGACAAACTCTAGCTGTATAGATAGGAAAAGGATATAATTATACTAAAGTTACTCAATTGAGGATTATGAAACTATTAATTGGTGTTTTCCCATACAAAGTCAATTTTCATTTAACAAAAATTACCTCGAAATTCTATCGAATTTCCACAAAACCAGGAAAGTTATAGGCATTTAAAAAATTGGACGTATATTTTGTTGAAGATAAATAGTGGCTAGCACTGGTATCCAGGACGCACGTTTCGTCCTATTTAAAACTCTTCAGCTGGATATACCTGCATCCCAGAGTTGATGTTCACTAAAGTATTATATTACACCTCACGTTTTACATTCAAACTTTGATTTCGCGTTCTCTAAATAAATGTTTAATAAAGCAATCTTCTTCTAGTTTTCCAATTATACTCTTCAACTGGAGTTCACAATATCAAGCAAAATGTTAGAATATAATAAATATTAAAACTAAACTATTCTACAAATTGATTTAATTGAGTGACTTTAATTTCACGCTGTTTTCTATCTACATCATATGTGAAATTTGAAATATGAGATTTTGAGAAAATTAAAAATAATTGTTGTGCATCATCAAATGGTCGTGCAATTAATGATTTAAAAAAGAAAGAGGATAATTTTCAAAATTCTTGTTAATGTATCCATGTGTTTTTAAGATAAAACAGAAATATATAATGTTAGCGAAGTGAATTAAAATTCCATGCGTGATAAGTGGATTTAAAACTTCATCCCATTGCACAAGCAAGTGGCTATCAAGACTCAGTAGCTAAGTGGATAACGCGATGTCCTTTGAAGCGAACGATACTTGGTTCAAGTCCCAGAATGAACATCAACTCTGAGATACAGGTTCATCCAGCTGACGAATCCTAAATAGGATGAAACGCGCATGCTGGATTTCACTGCTAGCCACTATCCATCTTTGCTTATAGTGCTTGTGAATTAAAGCAATATTGAGGCAGTCCGCACAGTATGCACATATGCCAATAAGAGAATGATCAATTTCAGTCCTAAATAATAATGAGAAGATACAAGTAAACAACACCAAGTGAGTATATTTTGGTGTTTACTTCAATGATGATTTCCTTTTAACCTTTCACAAACAACTAAGAAAATGTATAGAGCATTATTTCGAATAAGTTTTGAAACATCATATATATGCGAACAAAATTGTTTTAATTAGATCCTCTTCATGATTTACTCTTATATACAAATAAATTTAGCCAATGAAATAGATTCTATATTCTCACATATTTTTCAACTTAAAATTTATCATAATTTATAAATGAGCTCCATAATCAAATTATTCACTGAAAAACAAACAGTATAAAAAATATTTCTCAGAAATGATGAAAAAAAGTGTGATTTTACATTTGTTTAGCTTAAAAGAAATTAAAATATATTCTAATTGTCTTTAATTTAGAGCATTAATCTGTCATAAGTTTGTAACGAATCAGCCTACAAATTTATTCAGTCTCTATGAAGCTATTCAACTGAACTATGACAGTTTAAATCACAAGCTGATCTTAGTTGGACTTATGTTGAAAATCAGAGAACAATGAACAGCCATTTCATCCTAGTATTTGACATTCATAACCCCACTTCATGGGGTTGGAACTAGTTATCTTCATTATGTGCACCGATCCTCAACATGTAGATGACTGAGATCCCATTCATTGGGATTCTTGTTTGTGATTTGAACTAGGAAATTTTCACAGTTTTTACATATCTCCTTAGAATATAATGCTCCGCTCACTAGTGATTTCCTTCATAACGTCCCTGAAATTCTTGTATAAAATCGTGATTCAGAAATGTTGAAATAATGTCACCAATCCCATTGAAAAACTGATACACCATATTATATAAAACCGTTTAAATTCACCTTGACTAAATTATAATCCTGGTGTAACTTAGTAGGACATTATTTCTCATTAACTGATTTCAAAGTCAATTATAGTGGCTTATAATTTGTTTGTACACAGGAGTAATTTCTAAGTGAAATTTGATTTTATGATTACATTTTTGATCATTAATCAAGTATAAGTAACAAATTTAAATGATTAATTTGTAAAATGGCTTCTAGGAGAGAGGGTGTTTTCTCACTGATAAAATCGTAGATAGCATAAGGTTGCGAGATGAGTCTAAATAAACCATATCAATAATAAAACGTGAGTTATACCTGAATAAGTACCTCGATACGTGTAAAAAATTGTAACTGGTGGGATATATATATATATATATTAAATGATGTCAGTTTGAGATAAAAAAAAAAGCTATCACAATCCATTTTGCTTCCTACTATCATGTTCTGAGACAAACAATTGAACAGTATTATGATTAGATCTATAGTTTTAAGCAAATGTGAAGTAGTTAATAGTCTTGAGAAGATGTTTTAAGAAGTAAAATAATGCAATCTGGTCTACATAATCAGTCATCTATTGATTCATCACAATTCATAGACGTAAATTTAGTAAATATAAAATTATCCTTTTGAGAAAATGATCAATCTTATCATTGTTATCATTAGAATCATGTCTGTTCTTCCAATTGTTTATGTAGATTCGTTGGTTATAAATACTAATCCAGACGCAAGTAACTGACAATCCGAAGTGTTTAAAATAAC